GAGAGAGTTTCGTCAGGAAACGTTTAAGGTTAGTTGAAAACCAAAATCCACATTGGATGGTTGAAATATCAATCCTATGACAATTTTCTTGATGGTTTTACAACTACTTTTTATTTTTCAGACTCAGAAAATCCTCTATAACTTGAGAAAATCAGAACCACATGTTCCACTTTGATAAGCCCACAATAAAAAAGGAAAAAGGAAACAGATAGATTCTGGAGGTCAAACTAGGAATATTAGTGACATTTCATCAAAGTTGAGAATACTGAAGATGAATGACATCCTTTCTGTCAAATTTTGAATATTTAGCAGGGTTGGATCTTTTAAATAACATCTATCCAAACAATAACAAACTAACCTATATGAAAATGGAAAGTTAAGGAATGGTGATAAAACAGATAATGTTCTTATTCTTTTCGGAAATTCACAATGAACTAAACTGGTATCTTGAATGAGAAAGCATTCAAAGTAGGTAAAGTACTTCTTGTGCTGATTGAACATTTTTAAAAATATGACTTTATTTCAGATATTTTTCTGCTGTGCAAGATCACCGAGTGACTTCAAGTTATTCATCCTGAATGATTTAATACATTTTATAATGTTTTGGCTTACGAGAGCGCTATTAAAGTTATGAGTCAACTAGGAGGTATCAGTATAATTGAACCCGTAACAGTACTTGTTCTCTGGAATTCGCCATTCTTGCTCTGCCTCGATTTTCTCTGGATCTGTTTCAACTTCTTCCGAGGACACGACGTGCCCGAAGAAATTCACCTTTCCCTGGAAGCAGCACCTCTTGGAATTGATCTGCACATGAACATTCTGCAGCCTAGAGAGAACACTCTTCAAACTCGACAGATGTTTGTCAAAACTTTTTCCGTTCACTATAATGTCATCAAGATACACCAAGCCTGTTTTCGAAATAAGTCCTCTCAGCATCAATTCTATCATCAAATATTGACACGGATTGCCTGCCACTTATCTATGTTATTCCTTTATTCAATATTTCTTTGTTACAGGGATCCTGTTACACAATTTTCACTGTGTAGAAAGTCGAAAGCTGAACATGGACGATGATTAACGTTTCCGATAAGCTCCCCTGTCCAATTCGTCCCATGAATAAGGGAACATGTGAACCTGAGCCGATTCTGAAAAAGAAAATCCTCTACGAGGTACTTATCCTCGTCGATTCTATTATCCAAGTCCGTTGCATATAATCACCAGGGAAAAAAGGTGTAGCAATACCAAAATTTAAGTAGTCGCAATACTTAGGGAAGTAAAACAGGCTAAAACTTCCTTCTGGATACAAAACAAGTGTAGGAAACTCATAAATATGGAACGTGGTCCGTGAGTAATGAAACGTCTCCTTATGTCGAAATCCCTAGCACAACAGGAGACGTTTCGAAATCAATGTATTATCTTGATCCAAACTCGTTTGAAACAAAGGTTGAATTCACTTTCAAATAACCCAAAAATGAACCAAACATTCAACCCTTAACAGCCTTTGAAATGTATATCCGCACTTTTGCGAAAATCAATCAATGATAGTTAAAAACACATTTACTAGGCAGATATCTTCATGATTTTTTCCAGAAATCGCCATCTCATTTACGTCGTTTCCAATCAGTACCGAGCCCAAGAGTTTTTGTCGCATAGAAAAAAAAATTATGAAGAAGTGACTACTTTTATAGGGTGTTCGTGATACAGGAAATATATTCAATTGATGCAAGGAATTAATTAAACAGAAAATATCGTAACATTACATAAAATAAATTAGAAAATTTAATAATCTTTTCTAGTCTATCAATTTTGTTTTTTTTCTTATTACTGTATGATGGAAATGGCGATTATATTGTACCTATATATGTTGGGAATCCTAGCGGCCACAAAATTTTTTATCCCAATTTCAAGCCTCAAAATAGGCCTCACTTTCAACGATTACCTATTCATCGGCACAAAATTCTCTTGAGGTCTGTCATTAGATAACCATATTGAAAAAATATATAATCCGCTATTCTGTAGCGACGACCATCTTAAATTTGCATCTTTTTGAAAGTGTACTACCATTCTAATACTCAATCCCTGTCATTTAATACCTATTCTGAGGAAGTTGTGAAAAATGCGTAACCCACTATTTTGTAGCTACGGTCATCTAGAATTTACAATGATACAGATTTCATTGAATTGTATTGTCATCAAAACTAAATGTGTGTACCAAATTTCAGTTATCGAAGTGTTCGAAAAGATGGTAGTCGGTTGACGCGAGGTCTGGAGAGTATGGTGGATGAGGCAGACCTTCGACGCTCAATTTGTTTAATTTTCAGATGATGCTTTTCTATTGATCAATTCTAGTTCTTGCAGACGCAAGTTATAGTGATACCTCCTTTTGAAGGGTTTTCAATTTTCTGTACAGCCATATCTTCATTTTTCAATTTCATGCATGCTTAAAAAAACAATTGAATAAATTGTGTTTATCTAAATCATTTATTGAAGCGGTAGCAATCAATGTGCAACTAACGGAAGTCTTTAGATCAAATGTTCAAACTGACAGCCATGTGTTTCTTGACACTAACAAAGCCGTTGCTGAAAGTTATCAACCACATCTTGAATGGTTTCGGGGTAATACGTTCTAGTTCTTCTCTAATTCTGATTTGCAAACTTTCAATATTGTTTGGTCTGCTGACTTATACTTTAGATTTTAGGTTACCCCACAAAAAGTAGTCAAGCGGTGTCATGTTGGGAGAACGGGCTGGCCACTCTATGGTACCTCGTCTACCAATCCATCTGTTGAGAAAAACTTCATTCAGGTATGCACGAACGTCAGCTGCAAAATGTGGTGGAGTACCATTTTGCTGATACCAGATACTCCTATCTATTTGACTAGGATTACCATTATCTGGAAAGAGTCTTTTCAGCTTTGGAACTAAAAAATTAGTCAAAAACTCCAAGTAAAAGTTCACCGGTTAATGTTTCGTTGAAAAAATATGGTCCAATTATGCGATTATTCATAATCCCTGCCCAACGATTCCACTTAAAAAAAAAGCTGACTCGTCGGAAAACAACATATTTTTCTCAAACGGAGGATCCCGCAGACACTTGGCTTCCATTATTTCGCAAAACTAAGTTCTGCGATCTGAATCGTCTTCTTTAAGTTCATGTACTAATTGTACTTTATAAGGAAGATACTTTTCACTTTTAAAAACACGCAATATCAAACTTAGACTTATGTCGTAATCGGCGGCAAGTTGTCGGGTAGGTTTATGTGGATTCCCCTCGATGTCTACCAAAATATCCAATTTCTTACATTCAATACACTTCTGCCTGGTTTTGAAATATCTTTGACAATCCCAAATTCACGAAATTTCGTTTCTATTCTACTAACGGTACATTGAGAAATGTGATGACCAGGATATTTATTATTGAACATTTTACTTACATTCTTCTGGGTTCTAGTTTTGTCCCCACATCCTAGTAATATCAACATTTCCACTCTTTGACGTTGAATGAGACATTGCTAGAACTTTTAGCCTATTGTCTGAAAGTAATACTGAACAAGAAACACAAACAACAACTGCAAAACTGTTTCTCATCAGCAAGTTCACAGAAAATGTACAATTTCTTACTGAACTTTCACGGCTGACAAAGGTTGGTAAAAACAAACAAAAAAATTGAAAGTGCATGGCATATTGTACAGCGGACAGATTCAATGGAATACCTACGTGATACCTTTCAACAATATGAATTTTTTTATTCATTATGACGCATGCACGAAATTAAAAAATAAAGATACGGCTGTACAGAAAATTGAATACCCTTCAAAATGAGGTATCACTTGACTCCCTTTTGCATTTAAAAAATTGGAGGGGTGGCTGTCATGTTGAGGGGGGTGAAGGAGGGGGGGATTTGTTTATGTCACAGAGTGTCTTTTCGAATACATAATTCGACGTGTTTCAGGGTTTTTCTTGAAAATGGCTAATAACGTAGAAAATGAATTTATCCGTGTTAGGAATCACACGTTAAAAGGTAAGACCTCGTTAGTCCTTAGCTCGCACAAGTTTCTCAACTTCTGAGAGTTGTCGTTCGTATGGGGGCCGCAGCTGATTAATGGAAAAACAGATTTTAAACAGAAACAGATATAGTGCTCAATGTAAACTGATATTATGTCAAAAAAGAGCTGGCCTCATTCAGAGCGCTGGGAAACAGTTTTTACATCAAAATTCGTAAAAATTATGAAAAAACTAATCGATAAAGTTTATTGTATGATTTTCACTATAAGGGTTTTACAAAAACCGAGACACGTGTTTCGCTATACAATAGTTTCTTCAAGCAGAACTGAGAGTTACTTCTAAATTAAAACCTTATATACTATAACCTAGTACCTATTCGTCTACCTAAGTAATAAATCTACCTGGAAAAATATACCTGAAGAAGTCAGGTATCTCGAAAGTCTACCTGTAAATATACCTAACTATTTTTACCTGCGAATGAACAGATTCAATACTGGCGAGTTATTCATTTCAGTTTGATCGTTCATAAGAGAGTTTTTGAATTTGTTTATTTCCATACTCTCTTACAGGTTAAGTTTCCTTTCTTCTGGAAATGGAGGGGTTTGTATTCATGGTTGAACTCATGTCCCTCTGAGATTAGATGGGTGGCATATGTGGAATTTATTTTTCCGTTCTGAAAACTATATTTGTGTTCCTTTATGCGGGTTTTGAACGTTCTTCCAGTTTGACCTATATGAAACATCTCAGCCAGAATAGAGCTGAGTGGGTTTCCCATTATGAGACCTCTGCAAGATGAGTAAAACTTTTCATTGAATTGGACGTAATTCTGTGACAAACATACCGTAAGCAAGTCTAATATTTCATTTCAGTAATCGTTTCATTCGGTTGTAATTTATAAGTAACTCTCAGTTATGCTTGAAGAAACTATTGTATAGCGAAACACGTGTCGCGGTTTTTGTAAAACCCTTATAGTGAAAATCATACAATAAATGTTATTGATTAGTTTTGTAATATGGATTTTCATCAAGTATTGGCCAGTTCTATTCAATTATTGAAAATTATGAGTCTGGTCCGTTCTACCTGCAGGGTCCGTTTTACCTCCCGTTCCCCTAACTATATTAATTATATTGACTACAATTTGTGTAAAACATTTTCAATATCAATTCATCTAATAAATATGTTTTTAAACTGTACTATACTGACTCGTTCTATATTATGCTAGACATAAACTAAAGAACTAATGAACTATTATTATTATGGAGCTACAAGAACACATGACATTAAAACGGACAACATTTTTGAAACAACCTACTATAATAAACTCTACGACACTGGCCAGGTCACCAACAAGAATTTACAAAAAGCAAGCATTACCTCTGACATTCCTGATCCAATCGACATTGAAACCCTCGCAGTCTGATGGATCGGTAATCACACGATCCGGACCGAGGAGATCCTTGAAGAACCCCAAGTGATGTTGGTCTAGCTTGGCGTACTCGCCCCTTTTTACGTGAGGATATCGATCCTGAAACGAGAAATTCGGCAAATTTTCTTTGTTCGCAAACTCCTACACATGTTCGATGTACAATGGTGGCAATTATCGATATGTGGGCTGGCGGAAGGAAAAATAAGGGGAGAGGGTCTAATGAGACAAGCGAGTAAGTGCGTTATCCATGGGGATAAGGCGTGTGTGCCGGAAACAGTTTGAACGTGTTTGTTTTTAAAAAAAAACATTTCGAACATTCGGTGCAAAAAGAATCCATCGCACTCTTCTTTCACATACCAGAACTATAACAGTATTTTTGATAACTATTTGGCCAAACAAGTTGGCCTCATCAAATGTACTAATACACTTGTCAAGTACAATTAGCAGATAATTCACTGGTGAAAATCCCGCTCATTTAAGAAGAGTGGTTTGAAATGGAATCTTTATGTCCGTTAATAGTTCTTTTGTCATACTACCACTCTTAGTTTTTCTGCAAACACTTGGGATGACGTTATTGATGATGCAAATAACGGATTGGAACAAGTTAAAAAAATGACTAGACCAAAACCTACTCAGCTTGAATGTAAAAAAAACTAAATCCATTTCATTTTCTCTGATTTCAGGCGTAAAGAAGAGTATTAATGTACAGGAGAATAATTGCCAAAATTGATTAACATGCAATTGTCCGAAAGTAGAGGAATGTAATAGTAAGTAATTAGGTTTCACTAGTTCGGACATCCATTGTCTACCATATGAAATGATTTGAAATCCCTGAAACAACTGAAAAAGAATAATTAAAAATGAATAGCTGAAAATAACAATTATATTAAGCAAAATACACCTGAAATGGAATAATAGTGAAAATGAACTACAAGTAAAAATATAACAATTGAATAAATAAAAACAAAATAAAAATGAAAGAATGAAGATGAAAGTAAAAAGTGTAGAGATTCCAAGTCACGTTAGTTCACGACGTTTCGATTGTAAGTATCTACAATCGTCTTCGGGTGATGACTGGACTGATTCCTCCGAGAGATGACTATTTATAGGTCGTTCAAATACTTTCACTTATCCCCGCTTTCCATTTTCCGCTTCACTGGTTCCGTGGGAGATGACCGTTTTGGCGGGAGTTGGCCATTTTTCGCTTGATGATGGGTTTTCATATGTTGCGAATTTCTACGCTGGCTTGGCTGAATACGTTGTTGAACAACATGTATGCGGCTTCCTCGAATTTTCTCCTAAACCAATGTTCCTCTCTGTGCAAGATCTCAGCTTGGAACCACTCGATGTTGTGTTGATGGGTCCAAACATGGTCTGCTATTCCTGATTTGCTGATTTCCCCTCGCTGTGTGTGCTTCTTGTGCTCGGCAATGCGAACATTCAATGGCCTCTTAGTTTCACCAATATAGGATTTTCCGCACTCACAGGGTATCCGGTAAATGCAATTCTTGGAATCGCAGTCCGCATTTGGTGGCCTGGTTTTCGTGAGGCTGCTAAGGATAGTGTTACCGGATCTGAAGCAGGTTCTGATGTTGTATTTGGAACCAATTCTTCTTATCCTCTCCGATAATCCTCTGATGTAGGGGAGGGCAAGCACTGGTTGTGACGGCTTCTCTTCCTTGCGAGGCTCCTGCTGTCTTCTAGCCAAAGTCTTTTCTACCATTGCTTTGGAGTAGCCATTCCGTTGAAGATCATTTTTGATGATGTCTAGTTCCTTCTCGAGACCTTCCTTCGTATTACAGAGCCCAAAAGCACGGTCTAATAGAGTCTTGATGATTCCTCTTTTAGTCGATTGATGGTGGTTGGATTCGTGATTCAGATACTGTCCCGTATGAGTGGGTTTTCGGTATACAGATGTTTCCCACTTAGTGTCGGTCCTCTTCACCAAAACATCTAAGAATGGCAATTCGTTGTGGATTTCCTTCTCCATTGTAAAAGTGGTGGAAGGTCTCACGCTGTTGATGTGTTTCAGGAAGGCGTCTAGTTCAGTATTCCCATGGTTCCATATTATGAAGGTGTCGTCAACATATCTCAACCAGACTCTAGGTTTCTTGTGGGCTTCTTCAATGGCCAGAGTTTCAAACCACTCCATATATATGTTGGCTATGACTAGTGAAAGTGGTGATCCCGTTGGCAGTCTCTCATCTTGTGTAAAGAATTCGTCCTTCAGTTGGAAATAACAGTTTCGTACACATCATTCTAGTAATTCCATAATTACTTCTATAGATAGATTCGTTCTCTCTTTCAGGTTCCCGTCTTCGGATAGCTTTCTCTGTATGATTTGGAGTGCTTCTTCGACCGGAACGTTGGTGTAAAGGCTTTCCACGTCGAAACTAATTAGTTGATCTTCCTGTGTGACCTCAATTGACCCTAGTAGTTCGACAAAATGCATTGAATTCTTCACAAAAGACGATGTTTTTCCTTGTAATGGTTGTATTAAGGGAAGTAAAAATCTAGACAAGTTTTGAGTAGCCGAATCTCTAGAGCTGATGATCGGTCTAAGTTTTAGGTTTTATGATAGACCAAAACTTATGATGGAAAAAATATGTTGTACCTTTGACTGACATACTAAGACAGCTGAATAGAAAAATGTGTGGATTCAAAGATCAAATTTTTGTACTCCAGAATATTTCTCAATTCATAGAATTTTTCAGTTAAAAGTCTGAGTCGTTTTACAACACAGTTTATGTACTCATACCATATCATATGCCGATCCACAATAACTCCCAGATACTTAACCATTTTCGTTCTTTCTATAAGAGAACAATTGCAGTCTGTTATATTAGTACAGTCTGTGTCACGTATAATACGGATTATGTTATTTCCAAATTGATCATTCTGCAATAGGGTGAATGTAATAAATTTAGTTTTTTTACATTCAGACTCAGAAGGTTGTGATCAAGCCATATCTGGATATCTTTCAGTCCCTTTTCTGATTTTTCATATGCCTCCTTCCAACTACTACCGGTGCTATGGTGCTGTTTAAAATCTGTTTAAAATCTGTTTTAAAATCTGTTTTTCCGTTAACCAGCTGTCGCACCCATACGAACGACAACCCTCAGAAGTCGAAACTTGTGCCAGCTAAGGATTAACGAGGTCTAACCTTTTAACGTGTGATTCCTAACTACTACGAAGCAAATAACTCCTTAGAAAATAAGGTTCAACTGGACACAATATTCATGGACCTTCGACAAGGTGGACCATGGTGTTTTGCTGCAAAACTTATATCGATTTGGACTATCCGGCAATATCATTATTATTTTAGGAGCTATCTTCAGGATCGATATTTTGAGGTTTGACATGATGGAAATACCTCAGGCCAATTTCATGCTCTTTAGGGGTACCCCAAGGTTCAAATTTGGGGCCCTTGTTCTTTTTGTTATTAATTAATGACTTGCTAGATTATATCGAGCACTTAAAATGTCTGCTTTTTGCTGATGATGTGAAAATTATCGAACAGGTGAGATCAATCAGAGATTGCTCCGCCCTACAGAAAGATTTGAATAGTTTATTGGGTTGGAGTGTTCGATGTAAGTTAGATTTCAACCTAAAAAAATGCCAAGTTATGACAATTACCCGCCAAAAGGACCCCATTTCTTTTGACTATATACCGCGTGAACGACGAATCGCTAAAAAGAGTGCATGAATGTAAAGACTTAGGAATAACCTATAATTGCAAATTAGCATTTGAGAAATATGTGGAACATATAAGAAATACCGCAAATCGAGCTTTAGGACTCATTTTAAGACAGACTTCTCTTTTCAGGAACAAAGATTCCATAAAAGTACTCTATTTCACGGTAGTGAGATTTAAACTCGAATACGGTAATGTAATTTGGAATGGAGAATACCAAACAACCTTACAGGAACTGGAAAAAATACAGTACAAATTTCTAAGGTACCTATATTATAAGAAATATCGTAGTAAATCAGATTACAACAGCATCAGAACATCACAATTGAAAACTCATTAAGGATTGTTCAAATATTTTAGCAAAATTATTGATAACTGATATTAGTCTATAATTTCCAATGCCATCAGGCTTACCTGTTTTATATATGAGGATGACGATTGACTCTTTGAATTGAGGTGGTAGTTTACCATTTTCATAGATCGAATTCATCGTGTGAGTTAATGGAGATATAATGAATAAATGAATATTCTTTTTTTAGCTTTCGTACAAAAATATGTTTATTTTGGAGCTCTCACAGTTTCGAAGAAATGCTATCAGGACCAGATAAACAAATGATTTTTAATTTGAATATAATTTCAGTCAGCTCATTTTGTGTAACTGGCTTCAGAAACATGGATTCCTGTTGCATGGTGTTTTTGAGAAAATGATCAAGAAAGTTTTCAGTTTTTCAATTTTTTTTGCCATTTCAGTTCTCATATTATTGAAGTAGTTGTTAAAATTATTAGGATTATCTTTTTTATCAGAGATTGGTTTTCCGTTTTGATTTTTGAACGTTATATTACCGATTTTTGTTTTTATTGAAGTGTTTTTCTAGTAATTTCATTTATGAGTTCCCATATTTTCTTGCAACTCAATCTATTTCTATAATATTGATTTTTCGCCAGCTTTATAATATTATTTAGTCGATTTCTGTATCATTTCCCCTTTCTGAGGTATATCTAACTAATCATTAATTTTTCAGGTGATCTCTTTGCCATATTGAGGTAATCAGATCAGTAGTGATCCATGGTTTGAAATGTGTCTGCCGCAGTAGCAGACGAAACGTCAGGTATAAAACCTGCAGATCACGGCTAATGAACCGAAAAACATCGGACAATTTGTAAGCCTTCAGACAATGGGAAATACAAGAGTTACTATTTTACTACCTTCTTTCATGAACTAAGTCCATGGCTAGGTTATAAAAACAAGTGTTGAACTGGCTTGCCGCAGATCATTTGTCTGGTATATTTGTAATTGGTATATTTGGAATATAATGAAGAAAAAGATTTATTGACAACTAATTCAGAAAATTTTTGAGTGAGGAAGTTTTAATCATAATCTAACAATCTCCCTCTCTTTCCCAACTCTCCAATCATTATCAATAATCTCAATCCGATTAAACGCACACTCTACTACAAGAAAAAGTTATAAAAAGTTATTTCTGCAGCGTTGCCAAATCTACAGCAATCACTGAGTATTTTTTCTGGGTTTGTTAGTTTCCACAATCTGAGAAAAAAAGTGTTTATCGGTCAAGTACAAGCGACTGAATTTTAGATTTTATGCGAACACCACAAGTCAAATGAAAAAAAAATGAAGACCCGATTTGCTCGAAAAAAATGGGATTTTCAAAAACTATATTTACTTTAGGAAAAAGCAGTGCCGTAAAATTGTTTTTCTACGGATGCTATTCACATATCACACATATTCACATATTCATAAATTATCAAAGCGACTATCCACGTGTATATACATGATAATACAACTTAGAAACATAATAACAACGGATTGTTCAAGAATAGCTTGTTTCGCCATTTTTCACAGCATAATGACATATGGACTAATAGTTTGTGGTTCATCACGTCATCTAGATATGATATTTAAACTAGAAAAAAAAGCAGTAAGAATTATGGCACAGGCTTAATATGACGATCATTGTAAACCTCTTTTCAAAAATCTCCGTAAATTAATTCTGCGATCTTGCTTCATATATGAATGTCTGTGTTATGTTAAAAATTTAATAAGTGAAAATAAATTGACTAAGTAGGAGGACATACACTACCATGGTACCAGGGCCAAAACGAATGTAAGGCTGCCCAAATATAGGTTAGGTAAATCGCAAAACTCTTATTTATATATGTCTTTGAAATTTTTTAACGTGTTACCATATGAGTTTCAGACTTTGGACATGAGTATGAACACTTTTAAAGTGAAAATTAAGAATATTCTTTTACAGAATGCCTTTTACACATTCGAAGAATATTTTAATTATTTCGACTCATCAACAAATTTGTTGCGTGTCTAATAATAGATATATTTTTATACAACAATATTTATGTATTTATTTGACTATATTGTGTTACATTTTTTATACATTTGTGTACTATTTATCCCACTGACGTATGCGAATACTTTTTATGTATGCATTGCACGAATAAATTCTATTCTATTCTATTCTATACAATGTACCACTTCTCACATCGCTTTCACATGTTCAAAACGAGAGATTTCTCACACAGTCAAAAAGATCCGCCATTACAGTGAGAAATAATTTCTCACTGTTATCACGATAACCCAAGTCAGTCATAAATTGTTACATGTCAGATTGATATGACACATTCTACATGTTGACAACGCTACGCCAACGATTCGCGTGCAATATACAAGTAACCCATTGTCGGCGTTTCCATAACAACAAAACCGAAGCACTGCATAATCATTGCTGTCAACTTACCCAACGAATATAGTTTTATTGTTGATTGTTACAGTATAAACAGTTCAGATTTATTAAATATTGAATATAATGGAATTACAGGAATTACTTTACAAAATTGTTCAAATATAACTGTTAATTACTATTTTAAATTAAATGTTAAAATGATTTAATGGCATACAAGTATTATTAGACATATACTTTATTGTCCAAGAAAATACAATCTTATTGACAAAGCTTGTTAAAAAATCTGGTATATATAGCACTACAAAGAATAAGAGAAAAGAAACAATTCACAGAAACACAATTTGAGCAAAACATTCACATATCTAATAGATAAAATATATCAATAGAAATTAAAATTTAACAAATTGTAGACAAAATAGTTTGTATAGTCCCTTTCAAAAGATGTAGATAACAAATTTGAACATAAGTTCACGTCCATGGCAATAAAATAATATAATTTAAAGTATAAGTGTCAATATAAACAAAAAAAAAACACCTATATTAAATCACTGCAAAGTTCCATTGTAATATTCATCAAGATTGTAGTACGCTTTAATTGCAAGGGCATCTTTAACAAGATTTCTGAACTTTTTATAGCTTTTCTCCTTCCTAATTTCGTGAGGTATGTGATTATACAGCTTTTTACTTTCATAAATTAAAGAAGACTTTGTCTGGCTTGTTTTTGGAACAGGAAGATGTATTTTATTTTCAGTTATGTGCCGGGTTATGTAACTTGTAGGTTCCGGAGTTCCAACCATGTTATGTTTTTTCTAAATCAAGCAAACAGTTTCAAGAATGAAAATACACGTAACAGTGAGATTTTTTTTTCTCAAAAATAATGGTCTGCATGACTCACTTACCCCCACCTTGCATAAGTATCTAACCGCTCGCTTTTGCAAAACAAACACTGAATGAAAAAGTTATTGACTGCAAAATCTCCAGAAGGCAACACCATATCTCAAGTGAAACTCAATCAGGGAATGATATACTCTTTTTGTTGTGGATGAAGTCAGTTCATTTGAAACGATTCGAAGTGCAGAACATCCTGATGCCAATTTTTAATTCAAAGCTGAAATATGTTGATCAAATTTTAATTTGTTATCCATGAAGATTCCCAGGAATGTGGATTGCTTTTTATTCTCAAGAATTTGTCCATTCAAGTATACATTGTTAATATTACAGCAGAAGGTGAGTAGGTTTGTTTTTTTAATATTTAAGCACAAGTAGTTCGCGTCACACCATTTTTTCACAACTTCTAAATCACTAGAGATAGTTTCTTTCATATTAGAAGTATTTTTTCCATGCCAAAGGAGCGTGATGTCATCCGCAAAGATGATTAAACTTCCTTGAACTGAGAGAGTCACCAGGTCATTTACATAAATAAGGAAAAGAATCGGGCCTAGTACTGATCCTTGTTTGATCTTACTAACTGTTTTCTATCACTTAAGTAAGACCTGAACTAGTCATTACACACTCCTCTAAAGCCATAGTAGTTCAACTTTTGCAAAAGAAGTTCATGATTTACACAATCAAAAGCTTTGGAGAAGCTGATGAATGTATTTTAATTTTCATTACTTGAAAACAACGCAACCGTAGAAAAAGTACAGTGTACAATGCGTGAGAAAATAACATATTTCTAACTCGCTTCTGCGCTCGTGAGAAATATGTCGTTTTTCTCACTTGTTGTACAATATACTATTCATTCAAAATGATTCAGTACAAATCCCGCATGGACGCCACTAGCATGAGTAAAAAACATGTACAGAAAATCTTTTGATGTATGAAATATGTGTACTACGTTTCGCGTAAAAAAGATTTTTTCTCAAAAGCTCAGCACTCTGTAGTACAAAAGTTAAGAAGTTCACGACGTATGTTCATATGAATGATTTTTTTTCTCAAAATGATTCAAAAAATAACCTCTTCGAATGACAATCCCAGTTCTTTTTATCGAGTTTGAAGATCGTCGTACTGTGTGGAATTTCATCCTGACATTTCACTAGATACTTCAGAGGTGCTCTCCTTTCGGATATGATTCAATATCCAGCGTGGCATTACCCTTGCAAGTAGTTGTCTTCCGGTAGGCATTCACCAGAACATACTGTGTAGGTTCGTTGGGAGGGTTGAATGTTTCGAAGTTTTATTGCGGAATATGACTTGTTTGGATTTTTTTCCAGAGCAAGTTAACCAATATTGCAGAAAACTGCTTCATCCAGAAAAAAATTACATGAAGTTACTATGGAACGAATAAAACCGGCAACACCTTTCTACAAACCCTGACCTACCTTAGTAAGCTGCGGCAAAACTTCGGCACTGACGAGTTCCCTTCGCTGAGAAGAGCATACGAACGAGGGTCGGATCCCTAGGGAGACGGGACGCAGGCCGATCAACGGTATTATTCCCCTTGGCAGCATGATTCGCGATGCAAGGATAACTTGGAAAAGGCAGAACGATACGTCAAATCCTAGAAGAAAGTTCATAAGTAGATTATAACTGTATTTTAAATATTTTCCTCACAAATATGTGGTTGGTACAGAATATATTTATCCGCCACAAAATTCAGTATTTTTTATTCGTTACAACAATTAATTCGTTTCCAAACAGCATAAAACTTCATAGTTGTCCTGAAAACAGGACAACTATGAAGCCGCCAACGTCATCAACATGAGTTCCCGCCCGCTCACGGGAAAAGAGGAATCCTTGTTGAGAAAAGACCTAAATTTCCCATTGCGCCAAAATCTGCGTCCACTTTGGAGATAATTACTGCAGTGGAATCTACCAGTTCCCTTATTGACCAGACCGAGGCAGAAGAGTTCAGATGGAAAATTAGAGAACAGCTGGATCGAGAACCAGTTCCAACATCTAACATCAGCAATGAAGAACGTACAGCTCTGAATGGCCTACATAGAGACAACACCATCAAGATCCTACCTGCAGATAAAGGAAACGCTACTGTGGTAATAGATACCGTTCTGTACGAACAGAAGATCGAAGAGGTTCTTCAGAAGGGACGATACACAAAGATCGTACGGGACCCTACTGCATCAATCGAAAGGAAGTTGTACCAGATTTTGAAAAAACACCAAGTCTATTTTTCGGACAAGGAAAGATCAT